TGCAGGATGCGGAGTAACCCTGCATTGAAAGCTGCCGTCCCTTTCACGCACTGACCCATGATATGGGGTAGCATGCGCAGGGGGAAGCTGGTGACCTCTTGCATCCTTGCTTTGGTGTGTAAAGTAGCTCACAATTGTGCCCTCAACAGGAAAGAAACATTCAAAGAATCAAAACAGGGCAAAGACCCAATGCAGGGGAGGGACAGGCAGAAGAATGGTGCACATCTGTATGTGCGCATAACTCAGCTCTGGCTGGGGAGGGTACTGCTCCCAGTGACTCCAGTGGAGACGAAGAATGGCCTGGTAGCTGGGCCTGTAGACTAGAACTCAGAAGAACCTGTGTTCCGTTCCTGGCTCTGCCACTGTCTCTGTGTGACCTCAGGCAAGTCACTAAATCTGCCCTGCACCTCTGCCGTGTAGGGTAAACCCCATGAACAGATACTATGGTGAACTCCTCTAGTGAGATGGGGACTTGGTAGCCAGGGCTCAGTTTGGTCCTTTATCAGCTAGTAAAGTCCCTGAACCTAGCTCACTGCCTCTCTGCATGGGTAGGACTGAGAGAACGCTGTAGGAGTAGGAATTGTCAGTGTACGGAGCAGCTAGAACCTAGGTCTGCTGGACACTGAGCAGCTGCTGTACCCATGTCACCACCCAACAGTTGTGGGCCAGCAGTGACCGACAGGCTGTGAGCCTGGAGGAGCAAAGTACCACAGAATGTGCTCCCCACAGAGGGCCTGTCTGGCTGTGCTCACGGGGGCCCTGATCGCTCCAGGCACACTATTTAAGCCTGGTGGGGACCCCAAGAAGTGGTCTGTGCAACCAGGTGGATCCCCATCTGGGTCTATGACAGACCCTGCTCCTTCGCCTTGCTTTGGTTCTTGGTTTCTGACCTTGGCGTCGGTTCTTGATTTCCGACTCCAGCCCTGCCCACTTGGCCCGGCTGCCCATGCCCTGGCCGTGACAATTTGGTAGGATCAATTTCAATAGGTAGTGAACTTAGCCCAGGGGTGTCATGAAAGTTTCCATTGCCTATTCTCCTACCAGCAATCCTGACCCTGTAGGATTCTTTACAATAGAGGGCCTGCGTCATTCCAACCCCAATTCTTTCAGTCAATGGGGACGCTGCGCTCTCCCCAGTAGAAATCATGCTGAGGGCACCGAGCCTGCTGTAAGAGCGATGCCGTGAACATCTTGGCTCTCTCCCCACACTGGGACGGAGAGACCTGACTCAGTTTCCCACAGAAGCGACGGCAAGTTCTTACTGGGGGTTCCTGGCTGGCGGCTGTGAATTACAGCTGATTGGCTCTGAAGACATCGGGAGCTGTCTCAGTCAACAGAGGATGGAGAGCTAAAGGGCGGGGGGGGGGGGGAATAACCTGCTGAAGCACAAGGAGAGGAGGATCAGAGAAAGAGAGGAGCGGAGGGAAGGAATGGGGAGAAAGGGGCGGGCAGACCAGATGAAAAAAAGGTTTTAAGAAAAAATGAAAAGGAGGAAAGAGAGAAAGGGGAAAAGAATGGAACAGAAGAAAGTAGGAAGTGATATGAAATAACTGACACAGAGAGAGATTGACAGCAAAAGACAGAGGGCAAGCTGTGGTGGGGGGTGGACATGGAAGACAAAAGGAGTTAATTACCTGTGTCCTGCCCCAGACAAAAACAGGGCCTCTAGCAGGACTGTGGGTGGGTAAGTGGGGCCTGTAACAAAGGCAAGCATCAGAGACTCCAGCCGGACAGAGGAGGCCTAGGCCGGGTTACAGCTGCTGTGCAATGGTGCCACATGGTCACCGTCTGGCACATAACATGTACTCAGCTGAACTCCATCCGCCAACACCATACGCATCGACTTTCCCTGACCTTCCGTGCAGCGTTCTCCTGCACCCCTCCGCCTCTGCGACTCCTTCTCCTGCCGTTCTCAGAGCAGCCTTCCCCCTCTCTTTGGCATGGGATGCACAGGCGCAAGAGAATGTGCAGCTCAGATCCAAGCTCCGCCATTGGCAGGAGCAGCTGCTGATGCAGAAAGTGTTGGGGGAAGGGAGGGAAGGCTCTTTCTCCCTCAAATTTGCATGCACATGCATGGAACCCCCGCCTGCAGAGACAGGCTCCCTTTGGGGGCATGCTTCTCTGTGTGCAAAGTTAGCAGGTGCAGGGAGGAGCACGCGCGCATTAATCAAAGTCTTCGTAAAAGGGTGGTTGGTTTTTCCAGGGCCTCAGCAGAAAGTACAATTCGGGGCTCGGTTCCAGCTGCGGCCGGTGGGACAGTCTCTCTTCCGCGGGACGGAGGGAGGGAGTGACGCTGCTGCTGGAGAAACGCAGCCCGTGTCCAACTCACAAGCCAAACCGGAGGCCCTTCCAGGGCAGGGCACATGGGAACTTTGCTTCTGCTCGGAGCCTGGGAAGAGTGAGATCTGATCTCTGGGCACCCAGAGGGAGGAGGCGGTTGGGAGGGGATGGCTGCATCATGGTAGCGGCGGAGGGAGGGGTGATGGGGCGCTTTGCAGGAGGAGAGTGAGATGAGACTGGAAGGCCACACTGCCCCCTTGCACAAGCGAGCGTATGGGGAAGGGAGGGGCGGAGAAGCTGTCCTACTTCCTGGTGGATGAGCAGTAGCAGCAGGAGCTCTTTAGACTGGCTTGGTCTCTCTCCCTCTCTTTTTTCTCCTCCATTAACCCCTTGCCTGCTGGTGAACCCATTCCCCTTCCCCAAAACAAACTGACATCTTGCAGAGCATCCCGAGGGAACAACCCTGCCCCCACTCCCCATCACAGTAACATCCCAACCTACCAAACGGCATAAGTGTGGCTCAGTGCCCACTCCAGGCTATTCGCCTCCTCACACACACACACACGGCCTACTGATTCCCGAATCCTTCTTGGATCCACCCTGGCCTTCGGCAGCCTTCACTGTCTGTCACTGCCCAACACCCTGACTGTGGATGTGTTGCTAGGAGTAAGGGAGGGCGCTCCGGAGACCAAGACGCCATTGTCTTGTTGGGTTATTCTGGCTGCCTGCGAGAAGCTGCAAATAGCTCCGTCCTGTCTTGCGGCCAGGGAAGAAGCCAGTGTGTGCATCAGCCTCCCGTTCGTCTCTCCCAGCTCTTAAAGGAAATTCCGCCCTGTTCATTCCTGGGTCAGGCTGGGGGAAGAGGGGTTGTCAGTGTCCCAGCAGAAGTTCTCACATGGAAGGAGAGGGCATGTTGATGGGATGGTGCTGGTGGTGGATGCATGGAGGCTGCTTTGACACCAAGAGCCAGCAATGTCCATCATCTATGCTCCCTCACTGCAAAGGGGGGCGGGGGAGAAGAAGCTTGGGCCGGCGCAGCCCAGGCTAGTATCATGGCTGCATCGGGGCCATGAAGTCTGCCAGTCTGAGGTCTCCAGGTCCAAGTGGGCCAGCTAGGGCTCCGCCAGCTTCGGAAGACTGCAATCCTCCTGCACTTCACCTGCCACAAGCGGGAGGAGCTCCCGAGCCTGGTTAAAGGACGGGCAGCTTTAAAAGCCATGATCAGGGGCCGGCTGGGCCAATCCAGGGCACAGAGGGGAACGGAGAGCCTTTGCCAAGGAGTGCAGACTCTTCCTCTGGATGGAAAGAAGCAGAGGTTGGAGAGAGATGGAGGGATCGTGAGAGGCAGTGGTAGTGGCAAAGAGGGACAGACGGATTGGGGGGGCAGGTAAAGACGGACGGAAGAGAAACAAGGGAGACTGAGAGAGGATTGAGAAATGGCTACACGGAGAGGGGCAGGCAGATGGGGTGGAGAAGGAGACGGAAGGAGAGTGAGGGGCAGAAAGAAGGATGGACAGGCCCAGGAGGAGGGGAGGACGCAGAGAGAGAGAGAGAGAGATCGGTGCTCTGCCCTCTGAGGGTGTGGGAGAGCGCGGGGGAATCGCACTAGGTGGCCACACCTCTACTCGGGGCTGGGATTGTTTCCAGACCTGCAGCTCCCCTCGTCCCACCCACAGCTGCCGCGCCGCTGGCTTGCTCTGAGCCCCTTAATCAAGTGCAGGCTTGGTGCTAATAAGTGACTTTAAACAGGTCTGTCATTTTTGGATTGGGGGCCGGGGGTGAAGGTGGGGGGGGAGCAGGGACCGGGGAAACCAGCAAATAAATCTACATCTGATTAACATTTACGTTCCTGCAGGATTTGCAGAGAGCAAGAGACAGGAGAGAAACCAGTGCCAGAAGCAAGGCTGATCTTAGCCTCGCCTGCACCTGTTAGAGTAACAGTGACCTCCAGTGGCTGGTTGGGTGAATCCCAGGGGCCTGTTCCCAGGCCCTGTTCCCTGTGCAAGGGATGGGTAGAGATGTAGGCTGTTATTTGCAAAGTCCTAGGGCACTGAGAATCTCCACCAGATTCCCCAGGCACATTTAAGGGGTGCCACTCCAGGTCCTGATCCTACACACAAGGCAGCCATTTTCCTGGTTTGTTGAATTCAAGGGGCGTCCATGGGAAAGACCATGAGCTCTGTTTTCAGCCGTGGATGACCGATAGGGAAAGAACGAACACACACATACACACACGCTGCCGGTACTGTTCTGTTTTGCATCCAAAGGGAAAATGATTTGGATACTGAAAGGGGAGAAGGAGAGAGAGAGGGATTCATAAGAAACAGTGAGAAAAGGAGTGATTGGGGGGTGGGGAGTGGGGGGGAGAGGGAGGGATGCTCCCAGGCTGCTTGAGACACATGGACACAATGCCATGTTTTGGCCTTTCTGTGGTGGTGAGGATAATTTGGGTAGGCTCTCAGATACTGTGGCGACTAGTGCAGGATCAATGGCTATGACAGAGAGGTATTATTTGTTTTGCGGTAGTGGCTAGAAGCCCCAGTCATAGACCAGAGCCCCATTGTGCTAGGGGCTGTACAAACACAGAACAAAAATACAAAAAATTTCCCCAAAGAGCTTCCAAACTGGATAGAGAGATCGACGGGAAGAAGAGAAGAGGTGAGGAAAGCAGGGAGAGAGAGAGGAGTTTCCAGAGCAGGCTTCATCACCACCTCACTCACCTCCTTTGTGTCATTGTCCGGTATCAGAGTGTACAGGGGCATCACGCGGTTAATTTCCAGCAGCACGGGGGCTGGGCTGAGCTGCTCCTTGCCTGGGCGCCGACACAAATGGCAGGTGGAGGGGCAGCGGCCCTTTTCTTCGCAGTGGATCTCCACGCCTGAGATCAGCTGATCGTCCGAGAGCATCTGAGCTGTCAGCAGGCCTGAGAGGTAGGTGATGAATGGCATGGACTTGAGTTCCTTCTTGGTACCGAGTTCAGTCGTTTCTGTTTAGGGAATGGGGAGGGGGGGGGAGAAGACCAGTGGAAAATACATTTCAGCCCAATCAAACATTTTCTGTCGCCAAACCGAACACCACAGCAGCCAGGATAAACGCAGCTGCTTACAGCACAGGTCGTGTGGGACCAGGCTAGGATGGAGGCACAAGAGAAGGGAAGGGAGATAAAGAGAAACATGAGATTTTCACATTGCTGTTTGGTGTGGCTGGTTGAAAAATGGGATGTATTTTGAGTGAAATGTTTCTAAAGAAATGAACATTTCTGTGTTTAAATTTGCAGATTTGTTTGATTTTTCAATAAAATGAAAACCAAAAAATTTTGGTCTTTGGAAAAAAAATAAAAGGTTTTCAGTTGCCCTTTCCCCTTTGTCTCCCTTATTTTCTTCCCTCCCTGCCCCTTTTTCCAGTGAAATAAAAGGGAACATACCCATCAGAAAAGAAATTTTTCATAGTATCGTAGGACTTGAAGGGACCTCGAGAGGTGATCTAGTCCAATCCCCTGCTCTCATGGCAGAACTAAGTATTATCTAAACTATCCCTGACAGGTGTTTACCTAACCTGATCTTAAATATCCCAACTGATGGAGATTCCACAACCTTCCTGTGCAATTTATTCCAGTGCTTAACCACCCTGACAGTTAGGAAGTTTTTCCTAAAGTCCAACCTAAACAGCCCTTGCAGCAATTTAAGCCCATTGCTTCTTGTCCTATCCTCAGAGATTAAGAAGAATATTTTTTCTCCCTCCTCCTTGTAACAACCTTTTATGTACTTGAAAACTTTTATCATGTCCCCTCTCAGTCGTCTCATCGCCAGCCTAAATAAACACATTTTTTTCAATCTTCCCTTACAAGTCATGTTTTCTAGACTTTTAGTAATTTTTGTTACTCTTCTCCAGACTTTCATAGAATCATAGAATACCAGGGTTGGAAGGGGCCTCAGGAGGTCATCTAGTCCAGCCCCCTGCTCAAAGCAGGACCAATCCCCAATTTTTGCTCCAGATCCCAAATGGCCCCCTCAAGGATTGAACTCACAATCCTGGGTTTAGCAGGCCAATGCTCAAACCACTGAGCTATCCCTCCCCTCCAATTTGTACACATCTTTCCTGAAATGTGGCACCCCGAACTGGACACAGTACTCCAGGTAATACATCCCAGAATGATGTTTGCTTTTTTGTGTGGAAGAAAACAGAGTCTTCACTCTTAGGTGGGTTGTAACAAATCAGAGACCGTTTATTCTCAAGCAATTGCAAGAGGGGAACTACACACCCGGGCAGGGAATCTGCCTCACTCCAGGTAGGGCTCCATAGATAAGCAATTGAGGAAAGCCTTTATACCTTTTTGCTACAGGCAATAATGATCACAGCTGCAGTTTGTTTATACATATTCCTACCTGCTATCTTATTTTTCTCAACAAATTCTGCTACAGTCTACATTCCAATTTTATCAAAGCAAGGTCAAAAAACAGCATCTCAAACAATTTTCCCAGCCGCCTAGCACAAGCCCCACTTCTACAAATCTCGCACTATTAACAATAAGGTTAGCCTGTCTTCTGCAGGGCTCTTGCCTAGCACAAAATGAGTACTACACTTCCACATTTTACAACAGCGTTACACTGTTGACTCATATTTAGCTTGTAATCTACTATGACCCCCAGATCCCTTTCCGCAGTACTCCTTCCTAGGCAGTCATTTCCCATTTTGTATGTGTGCAACTGATTGTTCCATCCTAAGGGGAGTACTTTGTATTTATGCTGATTGCATTTCATCCTATTGACTTCAAACCATTTCTCCCATTTGTCCAGATCATTTTGAATTTTAATCCTCCAAAGCACTTGCAACCTCTCCCAGCTTGGTATCATCCACAGACTTTATAAGTGTACTCTCTATGCCATTATCTAAATTATTTTCATTTAGGAAAACATAAAATAAAACAAACACACACACACTATTTTTCATTGGAAAAAAAAAATGTCAACAAAATCAAAGCGGACCAGCTCTACTGCTTAGGAATGGTGTGGTCCAATACACCACCAACACTAATGGAAGCTCACCCAGACATAGCGCCTTAATTCCAAATCAGGTTTGCTGGAAGGCTCATGACCCTTTCAGACAACTTGGCAGGGAGACTGTGGCTGTTGTGGGATTTCAGGTCTCGGACATGCAAAACCACATGAAGCACTTTCAATGGGGTTTTGCTGTGGGTTTCTGGGTGCATGAAACCATGGGAGGTGCGGTCTTTGTGAGGATCAAAGACAGAAAGCTTCAGGCAGCTGAGGTCAGGAAGTAATGATGCCCCCCCAACCTCCCGTTTTTCCCCAATGCACAGAAACACACCACTTAGGGTTGGCGAGCATCACGAAATACTCTTACTCATCAAGTACTGGGCAAGATTCTAGGTTACATGAACCAGCTGTCTGGCCTGATAGCCCCATTGTCTGGTGTGAGACAAGCCCTGTGATCATTATAATTGAGTATTAACTAATTATTTATTAATTATTAATTATTATTATTATTATTATTATTATTTAAACTAGGGTGGTACCTAGATACCAATCACGTTAGGGCTCCCTGGGGCTGGGTTCTGCACATATAGATAGTATGTGACAGTCCCTGAGCCAAAAAATGTTCCATCTCCAAAGAGGCGATGTCAAACTCTGGTTCAAATCCTGTTCCCTCCCCACTATTGAACTGTGACCCCTACCTATCTGTTGTGGAGAATATAGTAAGGAGTAGGGCACTGAAACTGACTAGAAAGGGGGTGGGAAATACATTGAATGTTAGAAATATGTTTCTCTGCAGTGAGGGTGACTGGGACCTGGAATGACCTTCTTGCTGCTCATGGAGCCGGCTGCAGCATGGAGTTCTACCGTTGCCACCTCTGAAGGTCTCTCCTCCAGAACCAAGCTGACACATCTCGATAACCCCTCCCCTCCCCATACAGCGTTGTTACGTGAGGCCACGATGCTGGGTCAGTCCCAAATATAGATCAATGGAAGAGCTTGCTGGGTAGGGAACAAACCAAGCCCAAAGTGAAACAGCAGGTTACCCGACACAAGGCAAAGGAGCTTTCAAAGGTAAGTTGGAGGAAAAGGTTTCTTCTAAGAAGAAAATCCTGCTCCTGCCATGAGGATCGTAACATTCTCTACCCAAGCGGGGGGGGCGGGTCCGACGCTCAATCCTCATTACAAAGTGTTCTGAGATACGATGATGAAAGGAGACGTGTTATTAATTAATATTACAACATTAGCACAATGCTTTTTTTTTTTTTTTTCTGAAAAAGATTCAAGTGTTTGCAACCACTGTGCAACTTCCTGGCCGCCCTAATTCCAAGCAGATAAATCCAGAGGTCCTGCTTCAGCCAAACTCTTGCCAAGATCAATGAGAGCTTTGCATGAATAAGATCTGAGTGAAAAATTGAGAACAGGCTTCAGGCTTTTGCTCTCCCAGTGAGCGGCCTCTTCTCTGACAGCAGAAGTGGTCTCTCACCTAAAGAGTCTGAAACACAATTTAAGATCACAGCTTTAGGGCTGCAAGAGGCTCCCAGGTGGGATGATCCAGGGGATAGAGTCTGTCTGCTTTCAGGAAGCCGATACAGCTGAAACAGATCTGTGTTACGTAGCCAAACAAAGAGCACGTGTAACAGCAAATGTTGAGTGAGCGCAGCAACCCCCAGGAAAGGCATCACGAGGGGAGGCTACATTCCAGATTTCAGACAGCGCAGGGGAGGGAGGGCATGTGAGGAGGCTGGAAGGTGCATGGAAGTGGAAGAGAAGGGGAACCAGTTGACATAGGGCATTTACAGTGGGATATGGAGCCTTCCCTTCTGGCATCTATGGTTTGATGGGTATTGGCCAAAAGCCTCAACGTCTAAAGGTTGTGGGTGGCCTGAGGTAAGGCCTGGTAAGAGACACAGTCAATGGATGTTGTAGGCGCTCATTTGGGAGATCAGGCCCACAGTGGTCTCAGGGCACTGTCTAGTAGTAGGCCGATGTCCAAATCTCCCAAACACACAAATTGCTTCTTGTGTTTCTTGGCCTCCTCTGGCCAGTCTCAACAGAGGTCAAGGTAGGGTTGCCAACCCTCCTGCTTTTGCTGGGAGTCTCCTGGAGTCATGCTCTATCTCCCGGTGGCTACTTCAGCCAAACTGGGAGATTTGGGGCGCTAACAGTCCGGCGCGGCAGCGGGGCTAAGGCAGGGTCCCTTACCTGCCGTGGCTCCGTGCTGCTCCCGGAAGTGGCCAGCACCATCCCTGTGGCCTCGGGGGAGGGGGGAATGTCTCCACACGCTGCCCCCATCCCGAAGAATTGCGGCCAATGGGAGCTGTGGGGGCGATGCCTGTGGGCAGTGATTTGCGGCGACCCCCTGCCCAGAAGCCACTGCCAGAGGGATGTGCCAGTCAGTTTCGGGAGCCGCCCGAGGTAAGCGCCGCCCCCTCACTCCCTCCTGCACCCAACCCCCCTGCCCCAGCCCAGAGCCCGCACCCAAACTCCCTCCCAGAGCCGGACCCCACACCCTCTCCCGCACCCAGACTCCCTCCCAGAGCCAGACACCAGACCCCCTCCTGCACCCAAACTCCCTCCCAGAGCCCGACCCCTCACCCCCTCCTACACCCAAACTCCCTCCCAGAGCTGGACCCCACACCCCCTCCTGCACCCAGACTCCCTCCCAGAGCCCGACCCCTCACCCCCTCCCACACCAAAACACCCTCCCAGAGCCGGACCCCACAGAGCAACTGCATTCTACAATGCACCCTTCAGGAAATATGTTTGAAAATAGCCTAGCATTAAGAGGCAACATGGTCCAGTGGATAGATCACTGGACTGAGAATCAGAAATCTTGTGTTCATTTCCTAATTCTGCCAGTGACTTGGGTAAGCCATTTCCCCTCTCTGTGCCTCTGTTTCCTCTCCTGCCTTTTGTCTGTTTTGTCTATTTAAATTGTAAGCTCTTTGTGGCAGGGACTGCCTCTTGCTAGGTGTTTGTACAGGGCCTA